TCGGTTTAGACGTATTTCTCTATTGGTTTATGAATACGGACATTAATATAGAAAGAATTAATCGATAAATGTCACTAATCCATAACAGTTAACTCCATTTCGTTTAAAAAGACTCTCTAGGGAATAAATTTCGAAAAAGAATCATTTACAGCAATAGAATTACATAAATCCAAGACGAAAACAACAGAGAATATTACAAAACGGTTATTAATAAAGAAAGTATTGAACCATAAATGTCACCGGCCCATAATAAGTGACGTTATATCGCGGGTTCAAACAAAATGCTATGTGGAAAGCTCCCGTTTTGCCATGTTCAGTCGTTTTTCCTTTTCCGTTGTAGTCGGCTGTGTCTACGCGAGCCGCCATCTCCGTATACGGTCATTAAAAATGACAAATGAAGTCATACGCGAGTCCCACGAGCCCATGCTACCCACGCCATCTAGCAGTGGGCTTCGAAAAATGCTCAACCTTATCTCAACAGTCTACCGTCTATTTATGTTGTTTTTGATTGTTTTTACGGCCAATTCTATTTACATATATTTCATAATAATTATTAGTGTAATTACTGTTGTTAATTAGTATTCTGTCCGATATAGATTATATTGCTCATTAATATAAGTTCAGGAGACATTAAAATCTCGAATGTACGATTGCTATTTTAATACTAAAGTCTCATTTAGTTAAAATTAGTGGTTTCAATGATATTATATACTTAAAAATTTACTATCATACATAATGTCTAAAAAAAACAATTAAAATTAATAGAATATCATAGCAACAGCTTTAAGCTTCATTCAGAGCCTCGCAATTAGTGGTTTCAATTACACTTTATACTTTACGATCATTCACAGTGTTTAAAAAAGATAATTAAAATTAATAGAATATCCTGGCAACAGATTGCGTTAGTCAGTTGTATCCATAGAGAAAGCCGAATATTTAGCTTATAAAACAATCAACTTTGGATTTCTAACCACCATTTCTCTCGACGGAAGATAATAGCTTTTTTCGTTTTCCTGTTATTACCGATTCTGAACCGTCCTAGAACTGTGATGCGTATGCGCAGAAGGAAATATGAAGACATTATTTCATTTGCGCATGCGCTGCAGAGTTCTAGGACGGTTGTGAATTTGTGTCAGAATCGGTAATAACAGGAAAACGAAAAAAGCTAATGAAAGGCCAAATTGACATATCTCGCAAATTTTGAAATTTCCAAAAAACTCAGCAATTCTTGAATTTTTTAAACCTATAACAACTTATAAAATTATCTGGGGAGATATATTGATGGAATAGAAATTTGATTTAGAGAGAGTAATAGTTTTGATGCCAACTTTTATTGATTTCTCTATGTGTATGTATATTGTCCTTTTCAAATCATTAATGAATAAAATTTAGGATATTTTTTTACTACAATTTTATGTCACATAAAAAAGCGGGCAAGTGTAGAGAGCCTACATGTCAAATACGACATAGAAAGCGTTTTAAAAATAAGATTAGATGCGCTTAAAGATTATATAGATAGATAGATACCTAGGTAACATGATAAGCTGTGGTAGAAAAAAAATAATTTCCTTATTTTTTGAGTGACGCTATATGACATGTGTTCACTAATCGATTTCGATTCGGATCAGTGATTTTGGATTATATTAATATAAATTTGATTTCATTAATTCAAATACAGTAGAATGTCTCTGACATACAGGGTGATCCGAAATGTTTTCGGAAACTTCGGCAATGTATTCTGCAGAAGAAGATAAACAAAAAAGTTGGTATAAATTTGTGTCCTAAAATGCTTCGTTTCAGAGATACAGGATGTGGAAGTTTCATTTTTAATTCTTTTTTTTTCAAATAATTTTTGAAAGGCGCCCCCACATATAAGACAAATTTCTCATGTAAAGAAGCTACCCAGAAAGATAATAAAAAATCGAAATAAAAATGAAACTTAGGCACCCTGTAACTCCGAAACGAAGCATTTTGCAACATATTATTTACAGAATTTTTTTTTACTTATTTTTATAGGTTGCCGAAGTTTCCCGATTGCAATTCGGACCACCCTGTATCATTAAATTAATGCCTATTATTGCAATACAAATTTAGATTCCTGTTTAAACGAATTGAGATATTTGTTATTTTTCTTTCTAGAATATTTTCATTTGTCAACAGTATGAGTATCTGTCTAAAAAAATAAAAGAATGCTATACAGGGTGTTACAAATTTCAGGTACGAGCATTGGTATCTCGGTAAATGTAATAGATACGAACATGGTTAAATTGGGGCAAAGTTGCCGCTTTGGGATGTTCACCAAGATGCCATCAAAAAAGTTTTAATAATTTCAAGGATTACTGAGTTTAAAAATAACGGATTTTTTTGAAAATGAATTTTATTTTTTCCTGTCGTTACTTTTTAGAAAATCAAAAAACTAATTCCACATTCTCATAGCCACTTTATAAGAGCTATCTGATACTATTTTTAGATTTTCAAATTAGCTGATAATTTGTGAGATACAGAGGCCAACTTATTTTTTTTAAATACGGACCTGCTTTTTTTTTATTTCCGGTTTTGAAAGAACTCGATCTCCTGAGTACAATGATATGCCTGATATATATGATTTTTTTTTGTTTCGGACATTTGAACACAATTTATTTAAACTAATTTCAAATCCGGCTCCGTTTTCTATGAGAATGAGCAATTAGTTTTTTGATTTTCTTAAAAGTAACGACTGGAAAAAATAAAAGTCATTTTCAAAAAAATCGGTTTTTCCAAAAAACTCAGCAATCCTTGAAATTTTTAAAACTTTTTTGATGGCATCTTGGTGAACATCCCAAAGCGCAAATTTGCCCCAATTTAACCATGTTCGTGTCTATTACGGTTACCGAGATACCAATGCTCGTACCTCGAATTTGTAGCACCCTGTATAACAAATTAGTTTATATTACATAAAAAAAAATAAAAAATTGTAATAAACCCCCCAATTGTAGAAAACACTGCTTAACTTAGTTAATACAACATTTTTTATTAAAATCTTAAGTGCAATGTTGTATTTTTTAAATGTTTTTTTTGAGTGGATTTATATTATTTTGTCATTGAACGCCCAATAAAAATTACGAAAAAAAAGTTAGTAAAATACTTATGAAAACGACCACAACTTATAAAATATAAACACACACCTTGAAATTAAAATGGCGGAAATTAGTCAAGTACTTCATTTCGTTGTCCAAAATAACGAAAACAGTTTAGCCTGTAACAAAACATTATACATATAGTTTTAAGGTAAGTGTACATAATGATATTTCTATTATACAGAGCTGACAAAAAATACGTTTTTTTTTGAGGTGCACAAGTATTTGTTCTAAATAAACGTAAAAATTAATCTCGTTCGCTACAGGACCGCATCAGGACGGTCGCCATTTTGAACAGTGCCATTTTTTCCTATATATAATATATTCGCATAATAATATAAGGTATATATGGTGTCGTACTGTACTTATTTATATAAATACAAATGTTTTTTAGTACTTTTATTCCGTATGATCGAAAAAAACGGCGTCACAGACAGCTGGCGGATGACAATCGACGATAATTTTGCCGAGGTCAATCTCTAGACGTCAGTTACTAAACCATTGACATAAAACTACATAATTTAATCAATATAAAAATAAATTACAACCATTAAGGCCAACTGGCAATAAGCGTGGTTAAAAAATAGAGAGTAATCTTGCCAAAATTATTATCGATTGTCATTCCCCAGCTTTCTTTGACGCCGTTTTTTTTTTCGATCGTGTGGTATCTCTTTTGTTTCACAACGAATGATCTAGTCTTGATTAGATTTAAGTAAGTCTATGTTCAAAGTGGTTATGTTATGTTTTTTTTTAATTTTGATTTTGTATATTATTTATATGGTACTTTTGGAAGAAAAAAGTACCTATATATTTGAATTAGGTAGGTATACTTTATTTTATATTATTTATGTATTGTGTACTTATTATTATATACAGGGCTCTAATAAATTTTAACACAATTCGAATACTCGGTTAAGCTTGGTCTACACATAACGTGTTACCTGAAAGGTATAGTGTTACGTGTAGACGGAGCCTAGACAGATTATGCATATGTATGTACTTCGGTACTTCCATGTACTTCGGTACTTCCATGTACTTCTTAGAGCCCTTTATATTACATAAATTTTTAACTTATAGGAGACTTCTGGAGTGTAAAAAAATAGACACAGTGTGTACCTTTAAAAAGCTCTTCTGTATTTATGTTTTTAGTTTGTAAATTTAATTTTAGGTTAGTTTTTTTCTTTAGATCATGTCAATATTTATGTTTTGTTATTTATTTTACTTTATCTTGTTAGTTTAGATAGATCTGACCAAAAGAAACAAATGAATATTAAATAGTAATGTCAGTAGTACTTTTTTCGTATTTAGTTGTATAGGTTTTTAAAATTTATTGTACTTTTTTTGTTTATGTATATTTGTTTATTTTTGCTGGTATTTTAAGTATTGGATAAATAAAACAAACTTTTATATTGTGATATATGTGGTATATTTATTGTTTTAACTGTTGATTAGTTGGTTTTTAACATAACTAAAACGTAATCCCGCTCTATACAGAATGGAAAACTAACCTTTTGTTTCAAAAATTAATTCCATATCTATTATATGAAAAATTATTCACAAATTCTTGTTGGTATCAACAATAGAAAGACTAATTGTATAAATTTATTTATTTTGACACAACATATACAGAGTGTAAATAAGTGCAAATATTTTCAGGGGTGGTATATTTCAATTTAATAATTATCAAATTAAATAAATTAAATAATTAGGAAATTATTTAATTATTATTAATATATTGAGATTAAAATCTGGGGATCAGTTAATACTGCATTCGGATAGATCCAAAAATTTGTTTGAATTTTTTGGTACTTTAGAACTAACAATTGAATTTGAGATTTTTTTCTTTTAGTAACAAAAGGGATGGGAAATAAAGAAAAAAATGTATAAGTGTTGCATTCATGCACCAATAGTGCAATCAACAAATTTATTTAACCTAAAAAAATATAAAAAAGTGTCATTAAGAATAGAATTAAAGCTTTTTTTTCAGCCAAGGCCTTAAAAATAATATAAAATACAGTCAGTTCAGTCTCAACCTTATCAAATAAAATGGCACAAAAATATTATGAACTAAATATTTACTTAATAACTTATAGTTACATCTAGATTCTAGATCATTAACTAAAACTAATTTTTCTTCTATCCTGAACCCACACGACCCAAAAATCCACCTGCTGACTGACGTACATCCTACTACAGCTAGCCATCGGTCATCCTCTAAAACAAACAAGAAAAAAATCTTAAATCAAGATTTTAACAATTTTTTCCGGCCCGGTAAAATTTTAATTGAATTTTACCGTGGACCGGGACACGCCCACTGCGCTATCTTAATTTAATTAGAGAAATTTTGATCGTTTACCAGGCCTAAAGTGGGGACCACACTCGCAGATATGACGGACATCTTTGTTCTGTTTTTTTTTAATTTAAAGAGGTGGAGAAATTGATTTTTTTTCTTAATTGATTAAACTAGATGAAGTTGCAAAAAATAAAGTTTTAAGAGAAATTTTTTAAAAACTATGATCTTTACAGGTTATATTTTTTATCCAGTGTATTACGTTTTGGTTATGTCACAATAAAACATATCTAACATATAGAAATACTGTTAGAGTCTGTCCAACGAAAGATTTTATGAATTTAGCAGTTGTGTCTGTCATTTTAATTTGGCGGGGAATTGTATTTTCTGTCATTCTTTGGGGTATTTCATTTGCTGTAATATTCTTTACTTGTTGGACAGACTTTACAGTAAAATGTACATAAAAATAAAATAAATTGTACTTGAAAATGTTTTTAAAATTGTTGTCATCATTTTTATAAATTTAAAATACTTGTTGGTTTTTAAAATCAGAACTATGGTTTGTTTTTCCATCCTTGGCACTTACGTCATCATTTTCAACGCCATAGTGGTTTTCAAGTGTTAATTCTAAAACTATGTTTGATAAGTCTATTCTTGCATATTAGAATTAGACAAGGAAGCACGATATTTTCGTACGGTCTAAGAAATAAAATGCACTTACGTTTACGACGAAAAATGTGAGAGAGAGCGAGAGAGTGACAATCTGTGACGTAACAGCCAAGAATCGAAAAACAAAGCGTGTATAATTTTAAAAGTATTTTATTGAACATACTCCCATGTGAAATACTTGTTTACCTTTCACAAAGTTTATGTTTTATGTTTGATTTTGTTTATTATGCGTTATATTATTTATGTAAAATATGTAAAAATGTGAATTCTATAAACAATTTTAGAGGAATTTCAGTCTTTAACTTGTAAGTGGCCAATCAAATTTGATTATTTATTATTATCGCAAATTGAAACTTTTGAATTCTCAATAATAAAATAATATCTATAATAAATTTTAGTTAGTTAATTTAAATTTAAAGATATTTTCAATTAAATCGAATAAAATATTGGTTAAAATTGGTATTGTTTTTATGAGAATCAGCCTGACTGATTAAATGAGCCTAAACATGTGGTTCCAGTTGTTCTGAAATTTAACCAAAATAACTCAGCTATTTTAGACTAACCGGAAAACCCGTAAGAGCCGTTGCACACTTGCCGGAACCGGTTAGCCGACGCCGGCTATCCGGTGATGAATTACATAGAATCTGGCGTCGGTACGTGTGAAAGCTTCCTTAAGTTTCTATGTACCTTATCTCCAGATAGCCGGCGCTACCGAAGATAAGGTACAATGATAAAAATAAGGGTATTAAAAATGTTTATGGTTTATGGTTTTTACGGTTAAAATTTAAATAAGGATGTGCAATGGACGTAAGGGCTGTTTCTATGATTAATAAAGAAATAAATGTTTAAAACATTTATAGTCTGTCCGACGAAGGGACACTTGACGGTGACACTTGTATCTGTCATTTTACTTGACAGGTAAATTGAATATTCTGTCATTTTTTGGGTGTCGTCTGTCGAAATCTTCCGTCATGTGGGACAGAATATTTTAAGAGGCATTTAGTTTTTGATATAAAATATAATAATTTGAGATTTTTCAGTTACTTTAAGAGATTTATGTTTACTGTATTTTGATATGTAAATAATTGTTTTAAGGTTTCAAATTTGATTGGCTACCAACAAGTTCTTTCTTACACATTAATCGACTGATTTTCACTTATTCTATTGTTTCTGTTTCTATATTTTATTTTTTATTTAATCCATAATAAAATATTTGTTTTTAATATATTGTTTTTTAAGGTTTTGAATATATTTTGCTAAATACTAATTGTTAAATATTTTAAGGTATTGTCTCCTTTAAATCGTCAGAAGACCTACTTTGTTTACGCGGAATCCGAACCGCGGTCCTCAGATATATAATGGCTTACCGACTTAGGGAATGCCCTAAATAATTTTTATATGAAATATCCGATTTCATCCGTTAATGCGGTGTCACAGTAGCTTATAAATTCGGACGGTTCTGCGCGTTTTCCGCATCCACTTCGAAAGAAGCCTTACGCACTGTCACTATTTTAAATCAACTACCAGAAGTTTTTTTTATATGAAATGTGTAAAGTCAGTTAAATTCTTGTGACTTGATCAGTTCACTTGAATCATGAATATGCGCCTTAAGACAGAGATTGGTTTGAGTCGAGCGTTGTAATGTAACGCTTTATAACACGAGCATTCGCTAGTCAATGCCGGGGAATAATCGGCGAACCCATCGGCTCGGAACAACAACGATGCTCCACTCGACTGTAGGTTTTTCAGCGAATCTCTTTGATTGTTACATAACAAGTCAGTATACACCGATAAAATTATTTTAGTATGTTATTCTAAGCAAATTTCATATACAGGGTGTTCCTTAATGCCATGCTAATATTTAAGGGGTAAATTTAAGGGGGTGATTTTTGGACTTATTTTAAGAAAATATCTTCATATGAATTTATGCCCTAAACAAATTAACTTTTTAGATACAGGGTGGAAAAATTTTCTGAAAAAAAAGGTTTTTTTTCATAATAACTCTGATGTTATTGATATTTTTATGAAATTTCATACATGTCTTCTATGCTTAAAAATTATTTTTTGGTGTACAAAAAAAATTATGTTGTAACTCTTAATTTATAACCAGCCGATGCAGAAACGATTTCCACAAAACAGTAACCGCATCACATTTTTAGCAATTTGACGCTGAAGAAAAACGATTTTATTTTTTTTAAGCAAAAACTTGTTTACACAACATTGTTTAGAAATGAATGAAGATTTTGCATTATTTCCATTACTAAAATGATTTACTTTTAATCAATGTCAAATATTTATGACTGCGAAAATAGTGGATTTTTTATCTAGGCAACCCACGAGAAAATTTTATCCAGACTCAAAAATTATCTTTTAATGTCACTGGGAAAATAAGACTAAACAATCACTGTCTCCTGGAGTATTACTACATAGAGATGAGCAAAACTGCGATTCTCCAATCGCAATTGAAACTGCGATTGCGATTTTTAAATCGCTGCGACTGTAACCTGCGATTGCGATTTTAATATTTAAATATCGTACCAGGCATTCTATTCAGAGTGTCATTTTCTATCAAATAAAGTAAACAAATACCGAGGGTGCCATTTAAAAAAGTTGTAGTCATTTCCGGTGAAACAGGAAGTGATCGAAACGAATTTAATACGTCAATCAATCCTAATTTGTCATATGCTTAAGCCGGGTCTCCGCCGAAGCAATATAATGGTGTCGACAATGTTGCTGAAAATTCAGTAAAGTCGTCGACATTTTATGTCGCAGATTTAAGTCGCCGACTTTGTTTCATATTTCGCTTAATTCTGTTGCTAAAAATAAATTTGATATGGAGTGGAGCAATGATAAAACAAAAAATCTGATTGAAAAATATCAAGCCCATCCCGAACTTTGGGACACTAAGCATACTTGGTATAAGAACAGAAATAGAAAGTATGATGTCTGAAATGATATTGCAAGTAGTTTAGAAGTGGAGAGGGTGGAAGTTGAGAGAAAAAATAAAGTAAACACTAAATAAACTTTGGCTCTTTAGTCGATGTTCAAAATCGATTTGAACAGCAAATGTTTTAGTACTGTCTATTTGGGGCCATCTGTTTCACAGAACTACAAAAATTGTCGAGTCGTAAAAAATGCCCTTTTTGGGTTTGAGGGCGACAAAGACACAGTCCTCTCTGAACATCGGCCTAAGCTGCCACGCAATAATTTTTAGATAATTAAGTTAGCGCTAAAGACGCGGCTCTCTCTCTCTCTCTCTTCTCTTTCGCTCTATCGCATTGTCTCCGCATAGTTTTTCTCTCTAGTAGTTAAACAGAGAAATATTTGCTCTCTCCCTTATTTAGTTAACAACAATAAGTACCTTCTTGTTTAGTTAGTAACTCTTCTAAGTTTAGTTAGTAACTCTGCTAAGTTTAGTTAGTAAGTCTTCTGAGTGTTCTTCAGTATTGTGAGTGACGTGTTGTGAAAGGTGCCAGAAAAACAATAGCAACTAGGAACTGGTAACAAACAATTATTGACTTTGATTATTTTGACTTGGCAGTAAAGGCTTCATAGACTATATAATTGCCTTGAAAACTAAGACTATAAACTTCTTGTGTATAAGACTTATAGTGTTCTTCGCATTTGCTGCAGAGAAACCTTGTCCATTTTTACTACTTATTTTAATTAAATATTAGTGTTTAGTATTTAACCCGTAAATGTTTATTTCATTTCAAACTGAATCCACCCTATTTTATAAGCGTTCGCAACAAGTGCAATCGCTGTAATTGTAGCGCAAGTTTCGCAGAAAACTGCTACATTTAATGGTCCTTCGAGCCGGATTCAGAAATAACATTTACAAAAATTATAAGTGAACATTTCTCCAGTGGACAAGTTTCTCTTTTCACAAATTTCGAAAAAACTGAAAAATTTACGCGAGTGATTTCGGATAAAGTTAGACCGCCGCAGCGGTTAGACACTTATTGGTACTGCAAAAACTCTCTATTTCCAAGATTCCGAACCACGTCAAAAGGATAGGTTTCTCCGAGGATAGGTTTCTCCGTCAAAAGGTTTCTCCTATAGTGAATAGAATTTTTGGTTTTATTACTATACCCTAAACTAGAGATAAATCGATACAAAAAAGGAATTTGTCCTTTGTGTGTTTTATGTTTGTCAACAGTCGCTTTTGACACCGCCGTTTTATTTAGGATAAGAAATTTTAATTGTATATGGTCATTCAGATTGAAAGAAAATTTAGGTATTTCTCTTTTATTTA